GTCCTGGGTTTGGCCACCACTACATCCTCCCCCTGTCCCACTTTTCTTCTTGCCTGTTTGTGTTCAGTCTAGACGATTCATTTTTATTTGTTGATGTCCTGCCCTAGCCTGGGGCAGCTGTGGTGTGGTGAAAAGAGCACTAGATTTGGAGTCAGAAAAGCTGGTTTAAATTCTGGCTTGGCCATTTACTGACTGTGTATAAATTTGGGCAAGTTATTTACCTTCTCTGAGCCTCCTGCTTCTCATCTGCCAAGCAATAATAAGGAGCCCCATCTCCAGGGTGGCTAAGAGGAGACGGTGCTAGCACTGACAAAGAGACCTCTGCTCTAATCCCTACCAGCTGACTTTGAGTTCACTTCTAGAAAATCCCTGCTCAAGTCACCACCTGTCCAGCTAACCCTCCACCAACCACTCCTGGCATCTCTATAGAAATCCTGTACTCACCTCCATAGTCTTGGGTTGAAACCCTCAGGTCCAGGCCTCAGTTTAAACAACGTCAGTCATTTTACAAATGTTTATTGAGCACGTACTGTGTTCCAGGCACTGTTCCAGGAGCTGGAGATACAGTGAACGAAACAGACAAAAATCTCTTCCTTCATGGAGCTTGCATTCTAGCTGGGGGAGACAAACAAAAGGGGGAGTACGTTTTAAAGCTATACTGTCTGAAATGGTAGCCACTAGCCATGTGTATATTAAGCACTCGAAACGTGGCTACGACTAATTGAGACATGCAATAAGTATAAAATACGCACCAGATTCAAAGATTTATTTTTTCTTTACGCCTGATTTCTGCCCTTGGACAGATGCAAAGACTTAGTACCAAAAGAGTATAGAATTTCTCATTAATAGGCTAAGTGCAGTGGCTCATGCCTGTAATCCGAGGCAGGTGGATCATCTGAGGTCAGGAGTTCAAGACCAGCCTGACCAATATGGTGAAACCCCCATCTCTATTAAAAATACAAAAATTAGCCAGGTGTGGTGGTGTGCGCCCATAGTCCCAGCTACTCGGGAGGTTGAGACAGGAGAATCACTTGAACCCAGGAGGCAGAGGTTGCAGTGAGCTGAGATCGCACCACTGCATTCCAGCCTGGACGACAGAGCGAGACTCCATCTCAAAAAAAAAAAAAAAATCTCATTAATAATGTTTACATTGATTAGATGCTGAAATGATATTCTAGA